ACGTGGGTCCTTCAGATCCAAGCTGGTAATACCCTATCCAGATAATATTATGGATCCAGTCGTGTGAATGACAGGATTTTGAATTTAAAAAAAAAACATCATAAACAGCTGAGGCAGTGTATCTCGTCGGTAGGTTTTGGTTTGCTTGCGTGTAATAACCAGCTACAACAGCATCATCTGCTGGTATAGTGCTAGAACAACCACATTACACTTACGAAATTCTTTTGACACACTCCTGGCGCCTTAAGTGTGTCAAAAGTTTTGTGTGTAAAACGAGAGCCTGTAAGTAGCACTTAGGCTTTTATCCGTTCTTCTCTTTTTACAATGTGGTTATTTACATACAGATTGTTCTGTTACGGATACAAATGTCAAATTACAAACACACAAATCTGGGTACACACACACACTGTACAAGTTACACTTGTGAATCTGCCAAGGCAGGACTGCGTCAAAAGATGTGTGTAAAAATAAAGACTGTTTACACACACACACACATCTAGTTCTACAGCATGGTGCTAACGCCACTCAGGCTTCGCTGTGGGTATACTCAAGAAGCCCGAGCTTTCCGCCAGAGAGAAATCAATGCTCCAATCACGTGCCAGTCCCATCTATAAATAGCCCTCTACAGCCCGCACCTGCCATTTTTCCACTCTGGCGCCATTGAGAGAAGTCTACTCACCGTTAAGAAGAAGCTGAAGATGTCGTCTCCTTCCCTGTCTTGTCCGAAGACCCCGTCGCCCTCCGGCTGCAGGACGAAGCTCTCCCGCAAGGACCGGCACAGCCTGTGCTTCCTCTGCCTGGGCGTCTCCCACTACCAGGGGAACGACGCTGGCTGCGAAGCGAGCCTCTCTCTCCCCAGGGAGGAGAGAGAACGCGGCTTAGCTTATGCTAACTCCGCTGTGGTTCACCCGGGTTCCTCCCAGGAGGAGGAATTCAAGGTTGAGTTAGCTGTGTCCGCATATGGAGCCAGACTTCCACTACTCCACACGCAACTGGTCCAAGCCGCTCGCAGCCAGGAGACCTGCCCTGGGGTACGGTCCCTACTGCGAAGTCGAGGACTGGTCCTGGTCCAGAGGCGTACCTGAGGTCGAGGACACGGTGAGGCTGGCGCTTCTCCCCAAGTCCTCCCTGTGGTCGGGCAGCAAGCCGCCCCTCCCCACCGACAAGGACAGGGTGTCCATGTCGGTGGACACCGGTGTGTCGGTGGACACACAAGGACAGGGTGTCCATGTCGGCGCTGGATCGGTGCTACGCCAACGCAGCACAGGTTGTTGCGTTGGCGAGCAATATAGCGCTCATCACCGCCGCCCTGGACAGGTCACTCGTTGCTGGCCAGGCGCTCAGTGGCGAGGACCTCACCAGAGCCAGGGCCGCCACGGCGGCGACCCTCCGGATGATCCAGGCGCCCGCCATTGACGGTGGTCGTACAATTGCGGCCGCGCAGGTCGGTGCCCATCATCTCTGGGTAGGGCTAGCTGATGTCAGGGAGGCGAAGAAGAGGCAACTCCTGGACCTCCCGATATCCACGGAGTCCCTCTTTGGTCCAGATATGCATGGCCTGGTGGAGAGACTCGACGGAGCGGCAAAGGACTCCGCGAGACTGGCTCCTCATCTGGCCATTTTGGGAGCAGAGAAAGAGAGACAGAGAGAGAGGGACTGGTCCCCCTTACGTCGCTCTGCCCTCCCCCAGACCGCTACACGCCCGGCTCGCCCTGCTCCAGCGAGGTCCAGGGGCCAGGAGTGGACCTCCGGAGGCCCACGAGACCAGACCTCCCAGCGTCGCCCTCCCTTCGGTGGAGGAAAGCGCGGGGGGAAATATTTTTTCAATAAAAGAAAAGATTACGCTTATCCAGTTTCTCAGTCATCTGTTCTCTTGCACAACATGCCATCACAGGTAGAGGGCAGTGTGGTCTTACCTAAAGTCCAGGAACACTTCACAGAGGGTGGTTTGCAGTGCCAGTCTCAGAGCACCGCTCTAGGTACCAGCAGATCTAGCGCTTCACCTCTCCAGGGAGTTTTGAAACGCGAGGGTCTCACTAAGGGGAGGCCTATGACCTCTACCTCTAGCTCCGCTATTTCTCACACTTCCCCATTTGGTATGGGTCTGAAGCGTAAGAGGCAGGCTGTTGTTACCAGGGCAACGGAGCAGGGTCCGATCGTCCCACACAGCACAGCATTGGGACTCGCTGCTATGAGCGAGACAGAGAGTAGGGACACCTCTGTCTCGCACAGCAGAGCAAAGAGGCAGGCTGCTATATACGGGACGATGGTGGGAGAGACCCTCGGCCCTTTAGGGAACCCCCCCCCCCCTCCCCTTTGATGGCACCAGGAGAGTGGGGGGGCTTTAGGGTCAGGTGCCACCTCTCACGTCCTCTCAGACGCGTGTTTGGACAAGACGTTGCGCAGAGGCTATGCTCTGCAGTTCGCGGGGAGACCACCGCCGTTCCAGGGCGTTCGAGCAGCGAGCTCCAGGCGACATGGGACAGAGGAGGCTCTCCAAGAGGAGGTAGTCTCCCTGCTAAGAAGAGGCGCTGCGGTCCAGGTCGACCCGCAGGACGCTCAAAGGGGGCTGTACTCCCCATACTTCTTGGTTCCCAAGAAGTCAAGGGGGATGCGCCCTATTCTGGATCTGCGCGCTCTCAACCAGTGCATCTCCAGGCGGCCGTTCCGCATGCTCACTATGAAGCAGCTGCTGGAATGTGTGAGGCCCGGAGACTGGATATCTACCATCGATCTGACAAACGCCTACTTGTGGGAGAGAGGTGCTACAAATACTGCCGCCTCCCGTTCGGGTACGCACTGGCTCCACGCATTCTCGAAATGCGTGGGGGCGGCTCTGCTGCCGCTCAGACGCGCGGGGGTCAGAATTTTAACCTACATAGACGATTGATTAATTCTGGCCCAGTCCAAAGAAGTTCTGTTCCACATACAGCAGCTGGGCTTTGTGGCGAACAGAGAGAAGAGCAGGTTACAGCCTGCCCAGCGCGCGCTCTATCTCAGTCTGCAACTGGACTCGGTGGAGTTGAGTGAAGGGGTTGCAGGAGTGCTGCACTGGATCAAACAAAAGTAAAAACACTCACAGGTGCTCATCCGACTCAAGGGTTGGAGACTGGTATGCAAAAGAAAAAATGGAGAAGGAGGCACTCTGAAAACTGTGCTTTTCTTTTTAATGACCGACGCGTTTCGACCAGAGTCTTCGTCAGGGCAGTGAGTGTCACAGCTGATACTGTGCTGATTTTAAGGCGTCATACACCACGTGACCATGCAATATGTACAACATATAAATGAAAATAAAATAAGATAAATAAAGCAAGTGATAAAACAGAGCAACAAAATAAGTCAGAAGTGTGTGTATAAATGACAACATGCCCTCCTAACCCAAAACAGGTAGACAAAAGACATAACTGTTATGGATAGGTGAGATAGTGATCAAACATACAGGCAAAGGCGACATGGCTTGAAACAATTATAATTTCACTTCAAATAGAACGAAAAAAATCCAGTGCTGTAGAGTCTCTGGTATTGTGGGGAGATTATAGGAATGGCAAGAGGTCCATCTCCTCATTTAGTTCAGGATAACGGGTCGCTCTTAGGGCATGGATCCAGAAAGTCCAGAAAGGTGTACTGTGACCCACTGAATTGTAATGTCTCGCCATGGGGTATAAGTCATTATTTGTCCTTATGGCGTATTTGTGTTCAGCCAGTCTCTCTCTGAACTTTCTCTTTGTGTGTCCAATGTCGAAGCAGCCGCATTCACATTCAAGTCTGTAGATAACGTAGGTAGTGTTACAGTTTGCGAAACTCCTGCACTTGAAGACTTTTTGTGTGTAAACATCCATAAATGTATTAGTTCTTATGACGTTATCGCAGTGGTTGCAGCGGCCGCACCTATGCATTCCCGTCCTCTTTGCGAGCCAAGTTTCTTTTTTAGGAGCGGTGAGGTGGCTCCGGACCAGGCGATCTCTCAAGGTTGGTGCTCTCCTAAATGAAAAAATAGGCAAGTCAGTGAGAGCAGTGACACCTGTTGGCTCGATAAAATATTCTCTAAAGCCAATCCTCATACTGTACATATTAGATGTAATAGACATCTGAGAACATGAAAATAGTAAAAAAAAAAAAAAAAACTTGGTGAAATGTAAAAGAGCAGTCTGGACCTCTTTTCGGGGCGTTTTTTGATTAAATCTGCAGAATGGATTATACTTTGGGAAATACAAGTGGATGTTCTTCTTCAATGAACAGTTACGGAGAGAAAGCGACTAAGCAAGGATGGGGAAAGTCTAATTTGTTGGAGCAGCAGAAGACGAAAGGTAAAAAACAAATACAGACGTGATTTATTTTGTGCCCATATTATGCGTTATATCTTTTTAATGCAAAGTCTGATATCGTTTACACTTACATATAAATATAGTTGAGAAAATAAGCTTTAAAATGATATATAGCTTGTGGCTTATGAAGTTCAAAATACATCTGCTATTGCCAGCAGATGTATTTTTTTCCTCGTTTGCTACCGCCGGCGGGGGCTAGCGAGCTTAAGGGGTCAATACATTGCCTCAATGGCAGGCAATGTCCCGGGGGCCATAGATAATTCATTCGCGGGCCGGATTTGGCCCGCGGGCCTTGACTTTGACACATGTGGATTAAAGGGTAGAAAATGGATGGATGGATGGAGTGCCTGTTGTTCACCACGACTCAGGTTGGGGGCTTGCTTCTTCCTGTTGGAGATAAAAAGTTTTTCAACGTCATGGTCTGTCTTCTTAATGAATGCGCTCAAGCATGAGTTGTTGTTGACAGGTAAAAATGTGGATTTCGGCTTGAATGGGGTATAAGAAATGGTGGAAATCTCAGTTGTTATATTATTGTACCAAGCTCTTAAATGTAAATTGCGGTGGAATTTGAATAAATCTACTTTTGTTTGAAAGAGGTTGGTGTTGTGTGTGGGGGCATACGAAAGGCCTTTGGCTAGGACGTTTATGGCATCCAGAGGGAGGGGGGTACCTGATATGTTGATCACTGTCTGTAAGTTGGGGTCCGGTGCGGACGGCGAGGGCGGAGTTCGTAATCGTCCGGGCGTCTTCCGCGGTCTGCCCCAACGGGTTTTTATCTTCCTCTTGAGCGTGTCCTGTCTAAAAAAGGAGTCTCGGAAGTTGAAGGTAGTAGCTCATCATCTTCGCTGACTTATGTGCTGCTTGGCAGGCTGAAAGAGACTGTGCGGGTACGTCTCCTCCTTGAGAATGCTCGTGTTTGAGGCCATTGGTAGATAGTGCCCTGCGAGTAGTCCAGTCTGTCACGTTGAAATTTGTCCCTTTTGTTTTTCGTTATTGATTTGGTAAGGGTCTCCAAATCAGTTTTCAGTTTATTCATGGTGTCTCTTAGTTCATCATTTTCTGGGGACAACAGTTCGGTGTGTTGTTGTTGGATCGCCTGGATATAGTCACGTGCCTCCGCTCGTTGTTTCTTGAGCTCATCTATGAGCAGCAGCATTAAATCAAGGGAGCATTTGTTAAGCACGGCCTCCCATTTGCCTCGAAATTCTGAGTCGTCCTTACCCAGTGTAGGGAACTTTTTGATGCATAAGCCTCGAGGGATCATTTTTTCTCTCCAGTAATCCGAAAGTGTTATGGCGTGGAGTTCCAGTCGCTTCTTTTTTTCTAATGACTTTTGGTAGTCATGAAGGATTGACTGGATCGACTGCGCCCCCGGTAGGTCTGGAGGGGTGTTGTCAAACAAAGAGTCTTGTAGGATAATTTCTGTTCCTTGTTCGTGTGTGAAGAACAAAGTGTTGCCCGTCGTTTGTGACATATTCTGCACAAATGTCCAGATAACGTTCTATGCTAGAAGTGGAACGGAGCGACTCCCACAAAGGACAAACCCAAGTCCTTTGACATGTAGTTGAGTGAAGGGGTTGCAGGAGTGCTGCACTGGATCAAACAAAAGTAAAAACACTCACAAGTGCTCATCCGACTCAAGGGTTGGAGACTGGTATGCAAAAGATAAAATGGAGAAGGAGGCACTCTGAAAACTGTGTTCTTTTTAATGACCGACGCGTTTTGACCAGAGTCTTCATCAGGGCAGTGAGTGTCACAGCTGACACTGTGCTGATTTTAAGGCGTCATACCCACAATACCAGAGACTCTACAGCACTGGATTTTTTTCGTTTGATTTGAAGTGAAATTATAATTGTTTCAAGCCATGTCGCCTTTGCCTGTATGTTTGATCACTATCTCACCTATCCATAACAGTTATGTCTTTTGTCTACCTGGGTTAGGAGGGCATGTTGTCATTTATACACACACTTCTGACTTATTTTGTTGCTCTGTTTTATCACTTGCTTTATTTATTTTATTTTATTTTCATTTATATGAGGGGCGACAGTAGCGCAGTTGGTAGAGCATTGGCCTTCAGGCCTGAAGGTCGTGGGTTCAATTCCCACCTCTGCACCTTCTCCACCGACTCCCACTGATGACTGCTGTCGTTGTGTCCTTGGGCAAGACACTTAACCCGACTTTGCCCAAAGCCCCCACTGAAAGACCAAGGCTATGCTCACACTCAGAGAGCAGCCGTCCTCCTGTGGACTCACCACCTGCAGAGGATCAGTGAGGGGCTGGTGCTATGAGACTTGGGTGGCATCTCTGACTGCCACCCCCCTGACCCAGAAATGGATTAAAGGGTAGAAAATGGATGATGGATGTTGTACATATCGCATGGTCACGTGGTGTATGACGCCTTAAAATCAGCACAGTGTCAGCTGTGACACTCACTGCCCTGACGAAGACTCTGGTCGAAACGCGTCGGTCATTAAAAAGAACACAGTTTTCAGAGTGCCTCCTTCTCCATTTTTTCTTTTGCATACTGGACTCGGTGGAGTTTGGAGCTGCTCTATCCGTGGACAGACAGGAGAGCATCTCACCACCACAGCGCTGACCGCCCCCAGGATGTCTGCTCGACGTCTCAGATCACTCCTGGGGATGATGGCGGCGGTACGTTTGGGTCTTCTCCACATGAGAGGATATAAGAGGTGGTTCTCAGGTCTCAGATTTCACCCCTCCTGGGACGCAGCGACGATGCTAGTTCCCCCCAGGGTGAGATCAGACATCAGGTTCTGGCTCACCCCGAGTCAGATGAGGGACGGGGTTCCCCTGATAGGCACCGTGTCACACTCCTCTCTCGAGGGGTGGGGAGGGGTTCAGGGTCAGAGCTCCGTGGGAGGGCTCTGGACAGACCCATTTCCGCCCATCAACCTACTGGAGATGGAGGCTGTGTGCAGGGTGCTGCTGCACTTTGCTCCGCTGCTGCAGAGGAGGCACGTGATGATGCGTTCGGACAACACCACCGTCGTGGCCTACATGAACAGGCAGGGGGACACGAGGTCCCCCGGTCTCCATCGCCTGGCAGCCAGCATTCTGCTCTGGGCGGATGTGAATCTGCTGTCTCTCAGGGCCCACCACGTTCCCGGAGACAGGAACACAGGGGCGGATCTAATGTCCAGGGGAGGCCCACTCAGGGAGGAGTGGGGCCTGGCCACGCAGATAGCGGCGCAGGTATGGCAGTGGTTCGGTCGGCCGGGGTCGACCTGCTCGCCAGTGCAGACAACGCGCTGTGCCCACTCTGGTTCGCGCTACGGCCCACGGACAATCCATCCCTGGGGGTGGATGCCCTGGCACATTATCCGTGGCCAAGAGTCCTCCTTTATGCGTTTCCCCCGACTCGCCTCTTGCCAGTTCTTCTGAGGAGAATCGAGCAGGAGGGTCAGGAAGTGATTCTCATCGCCCCGGACAGCCCGCATGCCCGCTGGTTTCCGTTCCTGAGGGGCATGGCGGTGAGGGAACCTTGGCCTCTCCCGGACGAGCCCGGAGCTCTGGTCCAGGGAGGAGGGACGCTTCACTCGCCCCCAGTGCTGGGCCACAGACTGTGGGTCTGGAGGCTGAGAGGCGGAATCTCGTAGGTCTGGGTCTCCCCCAGTCGGTGGTGGAGACTATTCAGGGTGTGAGGGCCCCTTCCATTGTCAGAGTCTACGGCTGTAGGTGGAAAATTTTCAGCAACTGGTGCGCGGCGCGGTCTTGGGACCCCATGTCCTGCCCTCTGGAGGGGGTACTGGGGTTCCTACAGGAACTGCTGGAGAAGGGGTGGGTTCGGGACCTTTTCGGCCCGTTCCTATCCGCTGGTCAAACGTTTCCTTCGGGGGGCCCAGAGGAAGAGGCACGTTCTTCGGAGAACGCCTCCGCTCTGGGACCTCAAGGTGGTCTTGAGGGAGTTATCGGGACCTCCCTTTGAGCCTGTGGCTCAGGCCAGCCTTGAGTGTGTGGCTCTCAAGACCGCCCTCTTGCTGGCTCTGGTTTCAACCAAGAGGGCAGGTGAACTATGCGCACTCTCCATTTGCCCGGAATGTCTGGCGTTTGGTGCGGAGGATGATGTGGTGGAGCTTTGGGCAAATCCAGCCTTTCTGCCTAAGGTCGTTACTTCGGCCTTTAGGTCAAGGGTCATCAGGATCCAACCCTTTCACTCGCCGCCTCACGCCTCGGAGGAGGACGAGCGGCAGGATGTTGAAATCCTACCTGGCCGTTACAGCTTCTTTCAGACGGTCTGATCAGCTGTTTGTGTGCACAGCAGGGACGTGCAGTCAGGGGAGGCAGGGGAGGCAGAGCCTCACCTGCCATTATTGGAAACTAATAATTATTTTAGTTTAAATATATAATTTATATCCACTGTCCTATGCTTTTAATGTATATTCGGCACGGTTCCCATCAGTTTTGATCATTTCTGAAGTCAAAATCGCCGAAATCCCGTTATTCCTATTCAAAGAGACGAGGTGAGGCAGCGCTCCTGCGTGCCTCACCCCAGACCGCTCCCTCACAGTGTGTGTGTGTGTGTCTGAGTGCACTCAGCTCGTGCAGTTGATATATCACCGTTTGTTTCAAATATCCTGCTTTAAAAACATTTTTTAAACTCCTCTTAGTGTTTAGTAGTGTATTGCACGTATGTGTGTACAATTTATATTTAGTTTAAGTCTTTTGATCGTAGATGAACACACAAGGAAAAAGCTTGGCGTGAGGCAGGCGGTATCTGTGCCTCACCGCTAGGGGTGATAGTGAGCATAAAGTTCATACCAGAGTTGCTAACAAACAATCAGCCCAAAATGCTATTTCTTTTGCTGGAAAATGGATGATTTGAATGAAGATTTTTTTTCTCAATTGGACTTTCAAACAAAGAAAGAATTAATATAGACTGGGAGACCACCACTGGACTTACGAGGTTAGTCCGGCTGCGGGGGAGGAGTTTGTTAATCTGTGTTTTATGTTGAACATTGACAGATACCGGCAAAGTAGTGCTTTTCCGAAAAACACTGATTCAAACACTGCTCAAGAGTTCTGCAACTTGTTTAAATTATTGTTTATGTTCCTCGCGTCTCTCTCTCCTCGCGTCTCCGTCTCTCTCTGCTCCTCGCGTCTCCGTCTCTCTGCTCCTCTCTGTCTCTCTCTGCTCCTCTCTCCTCGCGTCTCTCTCTCCTCGCGTCTCTCGCACCTGCGCTTCCTTAAAGATGTTGTTTGATGCGGAGCAGAGTCAGCAGCTAGATTTGTTGTGAGATTATTAAAAGAAGCTGGTTCTCTTATCTTTACAGTATATAAAGTTTGTGGATGTCATTGCATTGGTGATTAAATGCTATTTTATTTGAATAATGATTGTAAATCTGACTTTTAAAGTCAGTGCCTCCCCAATCACAAACCTCACCGCACGTCCCTGGTGCACAGGCCCTAAGAACAGGTGCGCTCCATTGACGCCTCAAAGGCTGGCGCACTGGGTCTCCCGGGCGATTCGGTTGGCATACCAGGCCCAGGAATTGGTTCCCCGGTAGGGTTCAGGGCGCACTCCACACGAGGAGTCGCGGCCTCCACAGCTCTGCTCTGGGGGACCTCGGTGGAGGACGTCTGCCAAGCCGCTTCTTGGGCTTCGTCCTGTTCCTTTGCTCAGTCATATTTAGTGGATTTTTTTAGCGTTTATTTAGCGATTTATTTAGCGTTGATTTCTCTCTGGCGGGAAGCTCGGGCTTCTTGAGTATACCCACAGCAAAGCCTAAGTGGCTACGCACCATTTGTAGAACTTAAGTTACACTAGGTAACTACCAATTACGCACACACAAATCTTGTTACGCACATACAAATCTATTTACACACACTCAAATATTGTTTCTACACACACACAAATCTGGATACGCACGCACAGATTTTTTTACACACACACAAATCTGGTTACGCACGCACAAATATTTTTACGCGCACACTAATCTGGTTAGTGTTATGGCCAAATTTAGAATGATCCGAGGCAAACAAGTGTCTTTGTGTGATTTAATAAAGTAATGACATACATACATGATAATTGCATAAAGTGAATCCAAGTTGTGGAGAAGAGCTCAGCCAGATCTCCGAGGAGGCTCGCTAAACTCTTCTGCCCAGAACAAAGCCCCAGTCTTCAGTTTTCCCAGACTTGGGAAGGGTGAAAGGAGGGAGAGTTATCTAATTTCTGAGCCTCCTCCACACTCCTGGTTTCTTATCCGTGGACTGGCATCAGTGTCTCTGTGTTGAGTTTCTACCATCTTATGTTATTAATATGATTAATTGTAATTTTCCACTACATTACGCACACACAAATCTGGTTACAAACGCACACATCTTTTTACGCACACACAAATCTGTTTACACTCACACAAATATTATTGAAACAATAAAAGCTCCATACTTGGTCCGGTTTCTGCGTGCTGGTCTCTCCAGTCTATGGTCTCTCCTCGGGTCTGCATTGGTCTCAACGCTGGTCCGCGCTGGAACTCCTCCAGGGTCAAAAATATTTTGAGATTAATCTCATTATATATGAAGAGTTTGGTTCCAAAACGCTATTTTGTTCAATTTGAGTAAAACTGCGTTTTCTTAAGCAAGAACACGATATGATGAAAATCACTTTTGTCTGTTCCAAATCTTCATATACAGCGGGGAAAAAAAGTATTTAGTCAGCCACCAATTGTGCAAGTTCTCCCACTTAAAATAATGACTGAGGTCTGTAATTTTCATCATAGGTACACTTCAACTGTGAGAGACAGAATGTGAAAAAAAATCCAGGAATTCACATTGTAGGATTTTTAAAGAATGTATTTGTAAATTATGGTGGAAAATAAGTATTTGGTCAATAAAAAAAAATAAACTCAATACTTTGTAATATAACCTTTGTTGGCGAAAACAGAGGTCAAACGATTGCTATAGGTCTTTACCAGGTTTGCACACACGGTAGCTGGTATTTTGGCCCATTCCTCCATGCAGATCTTCTCAAGAGCAGTGATGTTTTGGGGCTGTCGCCGAGCAACACAGACTTTCAACTTCCTCCACAGATTTTCAATGGGGTCGAGGTCTGGAGACTGGCTAGGCCACTCCAGGACTTTCAAATGCTTCTTACGGAGCCACTCCTTCGTTGCCCGGGCGGTGTGTTTGGGATCATTGTTATGCTGGAAGACCCAGCCACCTTTCAAAATCTCACGATACATGGCCCCATTCATTCTTTCCTTAACACGGATCAGTCGTCCTGTCCCTTTAGCAGATGCTTCACAGTAGGTATGGTGTTCTTGGGATGAAACTCTGTATTCTTCTTCCTCCAAACACAACGAGTTGAGTTTATACCAAAAAGTTCTACTTTGGTTTCATCTGATGACATGACATTCTCCCAATCCTCTGCTGTATCATCCATGTGCTCTCTGGCAAACTTTAGACGGGCCTGGACATGCACTGGCTTCAGCAGGGGGACAGGTCTGGCACTGCAGGATTTGATTCCCTGTCGTCGTAGTGTGTTACTGATGTTGTTACTTTGGTCCCAGCTCTCTGCAGGTCATTCACCAGGTCCCCCCGTGTGGTTCTGGGATTTTTGATCACCGTTCTCATGATCATTTTGACCCCATGGGATGAGATCTTGCGTGGAGCCCCAGATTGAGGGAGATTATCAGTGGTCTTGTATGTCTTCCATTTTCTGATAAGTGTGTTCACACCAAGCTGCTTGCCTATTGTAGGTTCACTCTTCCCAGTCCGGTGCAGGTCTACAATTCTTTTCCTGGTGTCCTTCGACAGCTCTTTGGTCTTGGCCATAGTGGAGTTTGGAGTTTGACTGTTTGAGGCTGTGGACAGGTGTCTTTTATACAGATCTGTATAAAAGACAGAAGAGCTTCTTAAAGAAGAAGTTACAGGTCTGTGAGAGCCAGAGATCTTCTTGTTAGAAGTGACCAAATATTTATTTCCCACCATAATTTACAAATAAATTCTTTAAAAACCCCACAATGTGAATTCTTGGATTTATTTTTCACATTCTGTCTCTCACAGTTGAAGTGTACCTATGATGAAAATTACAGACCTCTGTCATTATTTTAAAGTGATTTGTCTCGAGTTTGTCAGAAAAAAACACTTTTAAATGTTAATCAGAGAACACATTATACATATTCATTATTAATACACATGCATAGAGGTTTTCAGAATTATTTGCTAACGTTTTAATGAAAATAATAGTGTTTTTATGCACAAAAAAAGCGATCGCGGCAAACCGGGAAGAAGCTATTATCATGAATTGCACATTATGGGACACATCTGCAGAGGATCTGACTATGGATATAGGTTCAGTATATAAATTAGTAACTCAGCGCAGATGTTCAGAATTCTTTGTTCAGTTTTCATGAAGTTCCAGAGCCTTATGGTGCGTTCAGACCAAACGCGATTTCTGCGGCCAAAGCGGCGGGTCTACATTGACACAACATGGGGGACGCGCGCCAAGGAGCGGCGAGAGATCACGCGGCGCGATTCGCGCGGCCAGAGCGGCGCGAATTCGAGCGTTTCGCGCGATTCGCGCGGCGTGTTTTGAGATGTCAAGCGTTTTGACGCGCGTTTGCGCGATTCGTGCTTCCAACGCGGCCGCCGCTAGAGTTGAACAATGTTGAACTTTTTGGGAGAATTCGCGTGTGCCGACCAATCAGGAGCTTTCTCCTCCAGTGACGTAGTGACGCATTTCACTACCGGAAAAACACTGGTAGATGACAGCTATGGAGAACACGTCAATTGCTCAGGTCGGTGCTCATTCTGAGCTATATAACACTGCGGACCACAGCTACCGGGACCGAAATAAAAAGGAGCTTGCTTGGAGGAGGGTTAGCGAGGTGGTTGGTGTCTCGGGTAAGTTATTTTAACTTTTCAATGTTGTAAATATTTCCCCGCGAAAAAAACTACTACTTTCCTGATTACGAGTTGATGTGTTTATTCAGTGGAAGTTTGCAAAAAGCGGTGGAAGAATCTGAGGGACACATATGAGGTGCTGAAGGTCGGTGTCATGCAGCAAACGGAGACCTCGAACAGTTGGAAAAAATACATTTCTTTCCTTTCTATTACCCACATTTTGCTGACTTTTACATTTATATTGCTTTCTGTGTATGCATTTCTTTTAATGATTTCTTAACATCATGGCCAGGTGAAAATAGGCATTGGCTATTTTCAAACCAGGATAGATCTTGATCATGTGTTGTGTTAAATTTCACTTTTCCCTTTTATATGAACAAATCATTTAAATGTACATAATAATGTACATTATTATGTACATATAAATGTCATAAGCGCAATGTACACATGATATGAAATAATTGTATTTCTTGTTTTCTTCTGGCACAGACACTGCCACCACCACACAAGGTGAGACATCTTGGCCTGAGCTGCCTGAGCTGCTGCTGCTGCTGCTGCTGCTGCTGCTGCTTCCTCAGCCGGTTCTTCTTCTGTGAGGGCTGGACCTTCCCCTGCTTCTGCACCTACAGGTGTGGCTTTTTTTAATCATTGTTTTATTTTTATTCTTATTACAGGACTGTTCATATAAACAAAATGTTACTGCATAATATGCCAAAATTACCCAAGGGCTGTTACATCAGTGTAGACGACAAATTTACAGAGAAACGACAAGATGTCAAGGCACTACAGGTGGAAAGAAGCTTTGGTCTGATACAACACATCTTCCCTCTTTCTTTGATAAAAACATACTACTGAAATACCTTATGCTATAAAAGTACTGAACAAATACATGCAATGGTTGCCACAAGATGGCAGCTATCCTGTTTAATGCAGACAATAGAGTATTACTTTTTTACAGCCAATTTCAAATTTCATTGCGAAATACACTTCAGAGATATTAGTTTGTAACTGTCGAAATTTGTGCATGTGTGAGTAATTTCATTGATAACTGCAATGTTCAAGTTAATTGTAACAAACACACAACTTAAAAGTGTTTTACATGTGTTTAACTATGTCTACACACTCTGGCTTTAATACAGATATTATTTGCTCTCTTCATTTTGCTTTTTTGAAATACATGTTCCACTTTTTAACACTGTGATTGCCCTGTGTTCTTTGTTGGCGGCTCTACGGACGTGGGCCTCTTCCGAGCCCTCTTCCTTGGTGGGCCTTCAGAGTGGGAGCGGGAGCTGCTGGAGACTCTACGGACCAAAGCAGCCGCACCGCCCCACTACACAGAAGACCATCAGTTCCTGCTCTCTCTCTTTCCTCTCCTGCAAAGGGTGGCACCAGAGTCAAAAGAATTTGTGAACTTCAAAATGTACCAACTTTTATATGAAAGCAGCACCGTTCTGCTTAATTTGGAACCATTGGCCAGTACAGTTTTTTTTTACCTAAGGTGACACCTTTTGCAGGGGAGGAAACAGACATGTGTCCCTTTCCTCTTCCACCGCACCTCCTCCAAGCAAGCTCCTTTTCATTTGTTTATATGTACATTTCATTTATTTTTCATTGTTTGTTACTTTTTTTATAAAGAAAATATTTTTCAAACCTCATGTGTTCTACTTCAAGCCAACCATTACTACCTTTCATATAATATTGACAGAAAATGCTATTCTATATTTGTACATTTACTTTTATAAGAGCTGACTGGGTTTTATAGAAGATGGAATAACAAACACTTAAAGAGCGATACAGTAGTTGACAGTATTTTTTATTCATTTCACCTTTTACTGTTTTAACAACCTTGTAATTATGGAAAAGCTTGAATGTGCATATGATTAACCTGAAGTTGGAGTGGAGTCGCAGTGGAGTCTGGCAGTCATTACCTAGAAACAGAAGGTATACAGGTGAATAGAATAGTGCAAATCAATATGGGTTTGGACTATGGCCAGATGTGGGTCAGTCTTGTGGTGGACATGACTACTCTGTGGGCTGCCACGGCAGTGCTCCCTCCTCACTGAAGTGGGCCATGAACACTTTCCTTATGTCCACTGCTGGCTTCCAGGCGGCCATCCGCTGCACGCCTGGAAGTGGTTCTTCACCGGCAGCAGCTCCCCTCGGTGCAGGAACCTGCCCATCTCCAGCCATCCTCATCCTCATCCTGGAGATGGGCAGGGCGCATTAAATTGCAGCGCAGTGAAAAGGCCTCATCTGCCACGAACACATGGGGCTGGGGTCCTCTGTGGTCAGCTCCAGGTATGCACTGGTCAGGAGGCAGGTCGAGTGTGCCCTCGCGCAGAGCCTCACCAAAGGCAGAGTTGGACACGATGCCTCCATCGCTGGATCTGCCGTACCCTCCCACATCAATCACCCTGAACCTGTACTGGGCATCCACTACAGCCAGGAGCACAAGGGAATGGTGCCCCTTATAATTAAAAAACATGGACCCAGAGTTGGGGGGTGCCTTCACAGCCACATGCTTCCCATCAATGGCCCCACAGCACAGAGGGAAGTTCCATCGGAACTCAAAGTCCTGCGCTATGGACCTCCACTCCTCTGCTCCAGGCACAGCCATGAACTCCTCCACGAGGCAGTCCCAGATGGCTGCCACCACATCTGGGATGAGCATGGAGACGGTGGATATGCCCGCTCTGAAGCTCCCCGCAATGGTCCTGTATGAGTCCCCAGTGGCAAGAAACCTGCAATTACAAAATGATATGAACATATTTATCACAATTACATTCATAAAAATCACGTGACAAAACTTGTGTAGCATAAAATACGTTAAACTAGTAGACAGTAAACATCATAGACAGTAATCATAGACACCATATTGTTGCATAATACTGTTTTCTGAGCAATTACATTGTGGATTGTGATTGAAAAATGACACACTTTGTAAGTATTTAGGAATTCCGAATGGGGTAAAAAAACACTAACCGCAGACAGATGGACAGGCGCTCTTCAGCTGGTATAGAGCGCCTGTAGTTGGTGTCCTGGTAGGAGATCCTAGCGCCAATGCGGGTCAGTAGGTCGTCAAACTGGGCCAGGGAGAGACGAAAGTACCGCTGAAAGCGACCCTCATCCGAGCGCAGCTCCCGGAGCAAATGGTGAAACTCACCAAACTCCAACCGTCTACGGACTATCTGATGAATCCAGACACGTCGTCGATTCGCCCTTTGACGACGTTGTCTGGCTTTATTTATCAGATAAAGCAACTCCTTCGCTGACATCCATTTTGGGAAGCTACAGGCAAAAGAGACAAGCCCCGCCCATTGATCACATAATCACATGTGATCACTCAAATCGAACAATCAAGGAAGTGGAAAAGAAGAAAAAAAAAAAATTCCTAAAAAAAAACTTTCAAAAATTATTAAAAACAAAGAAAATGTATGCATTAAACTCATAATAATCAATCCAATTATCAGTGATTTTATCCTCTATCCTGGAAAAAACAAAACAAATAAAACAAACAAATCAAAAATAAGTAAATAAATAAACAAAAACATAAACAAATCAAAATAAAAACAAACCAACACTATTGGACACACAAGAACTCAGCAGATTCTAGTCAAAACACAGACAAAAACGTGCTTGAGTCTCAAATTAAAGCTAATTTCACCACTTTTATTACTCCTATACACTTTTTATCTAATGCTATTTTGTTTACACTACACTTCACGTATTTCACTGTATTATATTTCACTTTTTAATCTTAGACTGGTTACATTACTTTTACTATTCACTATAGTTTTAAAACTCGGTTGCTTCGGGGATCTATGGGGGGTTACAAATATGTTTGCATATTTGCTTCTATTGAGCCCGATATTCTTAAACATAAATTTTATTCTAATAAATCTCTCTGTGGTATTATACTCTCATAATTAGTGCTTATTATCAGTGGGATTTTGCTCCATTCTACTCTCATTCTCTGAATAAAAATGTGAACACAGTAAGGCAATGGTCAACATTTACACTTCTATAGTGGGTCAGTGATTTATTAACTTTTTATTACTAAAGATATTATTGTCAGGCATTATGGGATGAATGTAACAATCATTAATCAATTATATTATCCTTACAAGGCTACTCGATTTTAGCAGTTTTGGGGTTGGGGTCTACAATGGTGTTTGATTCCCTCTAATCTGTTCTGATGAATTGGACAGTGGGCTATACCCAGAATACATCAAAATGCTTTTGAATCCTGTTGGTTGTAATCTATCTCATTGATCTAGAATTAATCCTAGGCTACACTCATAAGAACGTTTGCATTGTCAACATTCACTCATGTTTGAACACAAGTGAATTTGGCAGTATCACTAAAACTGTACATAAACTGTAATTAACTTATATATACTTCTGAAGTAAATGTTTGTGAAATGGTCCCTTACCATTGATATTAGCACTGGCTAGAAATAATCTCTATTTTGGAAAGCTTTCTATGGTTGATGCATTTATCCACTGTATTTCTATTTCTACACTAGTGTGCTCCAAAGCGTGGTTTGCAGCTTGAGTCAAGGCATATTTCTAATCTAACACTTATGTGGAAATGTTTATGAACAACAAAGGAAGGACAATTCTAACTTTTTCTACTACTACTAAAAACGCTACAATACTAATACTTTATCATTTTAAAACATTTTAACTGTTGCTCAGTCTACCAGACTAAAAAAGTCTAAGTTTTTGTTCTGTCTGATGTCTGAATACTTAACAAGTAATATTGCATTTGGTCACAGTTGTGGTGTAGCAATAGCAGCGGCATTCTGACTTTTTTCATTGGCTGGTGCTTGTTCTGAAATGCCCTGTGTCCAATACATCATCAGATGCTCAGAATATAGGAACAAACAAAAACAAAAGAAAGAATCATGAGTATATGTCTCATTTAGCACTCATCAATGTATGATTTTCAAAAATATAAACATCACTCCCCCAGTTTTTCTCTCTCAGTCCTCAGATCTCAGGTCCTCTGAGGGTAGTCCTCAGTCGTCATCAGGTCAGGCATAGAGAGAATGCATCTGGACATCAGTAGGTCCAAGCCATGGATCTGGTCTCTCCAGTTGGACATCAGGATCTCCAGATACAGTCTTTTCACTTGAAGCACATCAGTCATTTGCGATGCACTCTGGTCAATGGTTGCAGTGTCTTATAAATACAGGGACCTGGAGAACCCAGGTTCGATTCTTGTCTGAGGCACATCTTTTGGTTGCTTGTGGCAAAATTGTTTTTTCATTAAACAATTATTATATAACATCTTGTCTTTAATGTCTGAAAAAATCTAGGTGAAATTCACTAGTGTTATACGTTAAATATTGTGATATGTTTTGATAAACCGAACGTTACGTTACATCCTCCGCTCTGGCCCCGAGAGCAGCTGCTGTGACCCCCGCTCTGACAGCTCAGTGAACGCACTGCCGTCTGGGCTCCGAGCGCGGACCATAGACACGCGGACTCACGTCTCTCTCTCTCTGCTCGCGTCTCTCTCTCTGCTCGTGTCCCTCTCTCTCTGCTCACGTCTCTCTCTCTCTGCTCACGTCTCTCTCTCTGCTCACTCTCTCTCTCTCTGCTCGTGTCCTCTCTCTCTCTGCTCACGTCTCTCTCTCTCTGCTCGCATCTCTCTCTCTCTGCTCGCATCTCTCTCTCTCTGCTCGCATCTCTCTCTCTCTGCTCGCATCTCTCTCTCTCTCTCTCTCTCTCTCTCTCTCTGCTCGCATCTCTCTCTCTCTCTGCTCGCATCTCTCTCTCTCTGCTCGCTCTCTCTCTCTCTCTTCTCTCGTCTCTCTCTCTCTGCTGCGTCCTCTCTCTCTGCTCCTCTCTCTCTCTCTCTCTCCTCTCTCTCTCTCTCTCTCTGCTCACCTCTCTCTCTCTCTGCTCACGCCTCTCTCTCTCTGCTCACGTCTCTCTCTTTCTGCTCACGTCTCTCTCTCTGCTCACGTCTCTCTCTGCTCTCTCTCTCTCTGCTCGCGTCTCTCTCTCTCTGCTCACGTCTCTCTCTGCTCTCTCTCTCTGCTCGCGTCTCTCTCTCTCTGCTCACGTCTCTCTCTGCTCACCTCTCTCTCTCTGCTCACGCTCTCTCTCTCTGCTCACGTCTCTCTCTGCTCGCGTCTCTCTCTCTCTCTGCTCACGCTCTCTCTCTCTCTGCTCACGTCTCTCTCTGCTCACGTCTCTCTCTCTGCTCGTGTCCCTCTCTCTCTGCTCACGTCTCTCTCTCTGCTCGTCTCTCTCTCTGCTCGTGTCCCTCTCTCTCTGCTCACGTCTCTCTCTCTCTGCTCGCATCTCTCTCTCTGCTCGCTCTCTCTCTCTCTCTGCTCGCATCTCTCTCTCTCTGCTCACTCTCTCTCTCTGCTCACGCCTCTCTCTCTCTGCTCGCATCTCTCTCTCTCTGCTCGCATCTCTCTCTCTCTGCTCGCTCTCTCTCTCTCTCTGCTCGCATCTCTCTCTCTCTCTGCTCTCTCTCTCTCTCTCTCTCGCTCTCTCTCTCTCTCTCTGCTCGCTCTCTCTCTCTCTCTGCTCGCGTCTCTCTCTCTCTGCTCGCGTCTCTCTCTCTCTGCTCGCGTCTCTCTCTCTCTGCTCGCGTCTCTCTCTCTCTCCGTCTCTCTCTCTCTCGCTCTCTCTCTCTGCTCTCTCTCTCTCTCTGCTCACTCTCTCTCTCTCTCTGCTCGCGTCTCTCTCTCTCTCTCTGCTCACCTCTCTCTCTCTCTGCTCACGCTCTCTCTCTCTCTGCTCACGTCTCTCTCTTTCTGCTCACGTCTCTCTCTCTGCTCACGTCTCTCTCTGCTCTCTCTCTCTGCTCGCGTCTCTCTCTCTCTGCTCACGTCTCTCTCTGCTCTCTCTCTCTGCTCGCGTCTCTCTCTCTCTGCTCACGTCTCTCTCTGCTCACCTCTCTCTCTCTGCTCACGCCTCTCTCTCTCTGCTCACGTCTCTCTCTGCTCGCGTCTCTCTCTCTCTCTGCTCACGTCTCTCTCTCTCTGCTCACGTCTCTCTCTGCTCACGTCTCTCTCTCTGCTCGTGTCCCTCTCTCTCTGCTCACGTCTCTCTCTCTGCTCACGTCTCTCTCTCTGCTCGTGTCCCTCTCTCTCTGCTCACGTCTCTCTCTCTCTGCTCGCCTCTCTCTCTCTGCTCGCATCTCTCTCTCTCTGCTCGCATCTCTCTCTCTCTCTGCTCACCTCTCTCTCTGCTCACGCCTCT